GCGGGGCTTTGACCGCCAGAAGCATCGGGATGAGCCCTGGAACCCTTCGCACCGAGCATGAGAGTTGCCTTTATGACCCGGCAGGAGGCCCTGCTGTCCTTGGCACTGCCTGGCACCCCGTGCCTCTCCGAGAGGGAGGAGTCCGTGCACGGGCACATGAGGGTCCCCATGTCCCCGGCCCGGCTCTACCTGGGGGCCCCGCCTCTCGCCTCTGCCTCCGTGCCCCAGATCCCACCACCAGCCCTTCTCCCTGCGGTGAAGGCCGGGGGCCCAGGAGCCCATGCTGGAGGGGAAAGGCCAGGTACAGCTTGGCGAGAGGGCCTGATGCCCAGGAACTGGGAGGGAGAGGAGAGCAAGAGAGAGACAGGGGCATGGCTGGGAGGGCCCGCTGGCAGGACTACGCAGGCAGGGACGCGAGAGGGAGACGTATTCCCACCCTTCCGGTCTGGGCGTCCAAGAAACGGAGCAAACACAGAGATTCAGGATGGCCCTGTGTAGCCCAAAGTCCGCCTGTTCCATCCTGGGGCGTCCCCACCATCAGCCCAGCCATCGTAGTGGCCAACGTACGATGCAATGCAAGTCACCTCCTCCGGGGACGCGGGTCTCGCTGAGCGAGGAGCAAGCACAGGGCCTGGTGCTTGCTGGACGCTCAGTCCAGAGCTGCCTGTGAACCACCTGCCCCTTGAGAGCGCCTGGGGCCGCCCTGTCCGACGCCAGCCCGGGTCACACACGGGGCCTGTTTAAGTGGGATTGCACTGAAATGTGTTTAAAACCCTCAAAAACAAAACAAAACAAAACAAAACAACCAGCCCCAAATTCTAGATGTGGGCAAAGAAGGCATTTGAAAGGATAGCCTGGGGGGCTCAGTCCGCCAAGCGTCCGACTCCCGGTTTCGGCTCAGGTCGTGCTCTCACGGTTGTGGGGTTGAGCCCCACATCGGGCTCTGTACCAGTGGCATGGATCCTGCTTGGGTCTCTCTCTCTCTCTCTCTCTCTCTCTCTCTCTCTCTCTCTCTCTTTCAAAATAAATTAACATTTAAAAAATTAAAAAAGGCACCCCTCCCTCGAGGTGGATACAGCCCTGCGCCAGGACATGGGGCCTGGCAAACGGCTCAACCATCTCAGGGGGCTGCCCTTGCACAGTGAACAACCTGTTCGGCTGTGTGTGGCGGCCTGTCTGTGTACCACTTCTGCCTCTGGACTAGCAAATAACAGGAAACTCCAATGTAGGTCGGTGGATGCTCCCTGAAAAGCAAGAGAAGACAAACCCCTCACTGCGTTCGCTGCTCGGGAGAGAACAGCACTGTGTTTTGGGGCGAAGGGGTCATACAAGACAAACAACCAATTGCATATGGTTAAACACATGATTTTGGTTTTCTTAATGTTTATTTATTTTGAGAGAGAGAACATGAGCAGGGGAGGGACAGAGAGAGAGGGAGAGAGAGAAAATCTCTTGTCAGCACAGAGCCTGATGCGGGGCTCGAACCCACAAACCTATGTGATCATGACCTGAGCTGAAATCAAGAGTCGGAGCTTGAACCAACTGAGCCACCCAGGCGCCCCGAACATGTGGTTTTAAAGGTAGGATTTTCTCCTATGAAGCTAGAGGAGATGAAAATGTAAATTTAGGGGCGCCTGGGTGGCTCACACGGTTAAGTGACCGACTTGGGCTCGGGTCACGATCTCGCGGTTCGTGGGTTCGAGCCCCGCGTCGGGCTCTGTGCTGACAGCTCGGAGCCTGGAGCCTGCTTCCGATTCTCTGTCTCCTTCTCTCTCTGCCCCTCCCCCGCTTGTGCTCTGTCTCTCAAAAATAAGTAAATGTAAACATAAAAAAAAGAAAGAAAATGTACATTTATTTGAGTTAGGCGAGTGTCGCCCAGAACCGTCATAAAAGAGGGCTGGGCGTAGGAATAATACTGACGACGTCAGTCTTGAATTTTCATCATCCCGGGGAGACCCCAGGAATAGTGCGACTATCAACATATCCCATCGTGTTGTATGGGGTCCTGGACGGCGGGAGGCCTGTGGTGCCGCTCGGCAGCTTTGAACGCACCCCTTCACCCCGTTCCTTCCTTTCTCGGCAAATGTTCAGACGGGCCCTCTTCCCCTTTCATAAAGATGCACTAAGTGGTCACAGCAACAGGGGCGTGCCCTTTCTCGTCCCAGGGACCCCCTGGGCCCCATGTGTGAGCCTCAGTCTGCCTCCTTGCTCTGGGTCTAGGCCCCTGGAGGTTGAAGTGAGAAGGGACGAGAGTGGGGGTGGAAGGGCCAGGGCAGGGGGACTGGCTCGCCTCCATCAGGACCGGCGGGCTTTGGAGTCACGTCGTGACGTACGCGTCCAGGGTGAGCCAGCAGCTCTGTCCCACACGGCCACTTAGGGACCCAGGCGGACGCGGGCCTCACCGCGCCGTGACATCACGGTCTAACCTGGGTGCCCAGAGCCCTGAAGGCAGAACAGAAAGAATGTGGGGGGACCCAGGCCCGCTTTTAGTGGCCTCGTACCCAAGGGCCCAAGTGGGCCACTTTGCCCCAAGATCATTGGTCAGTGCCAATCTGGTGTCCCCAGCCTACCTGCCGGGGAGGCTGGGGAGCACGCGGGTGCACGTGGAATGTTCGGGGAGCACCACGTGTCTGCCACAGTGGTGACATGCCCTTCCCGCCGCGGGCAATGGCAGGCCCTGAGCGGACGGAAGCCGGACGACCCGGGACAGTGCCTTCAACGTGCGTTTGCGGCTGGTGTGCCGCCAGGCCCCTGAGAAGGTGCGACAGCAGGTCTCCACCTGACGCTTCTCCCCAAGGGCTCCGACCGGACAACGGCCGCCCGTCCCTCCCCGCCTGAAATAGAATCTCCAACCACAGGCGTCCGGTCGGGGGCCTTGCGCCCGGGCGCTCGGCCGTCTGCCATTCTGAGCGTGCCAGCCCCACACTTCTCTGTCTGCTCTGCGGGAACGGGACTCGCATCACACAGGACGGGCAAACGAGGGTCCGGGGTTTGCTCTGGAGCACCCGGCGGGGCCCCCGGGAGGCCAGGCGGTGGCTGTGGCGGAGTCCTCGTCAGCCCCGGGCCCATACGTGCCGAAAGCCACCCAGAGACCACGGACTTGCCTGGATCTGCTGGAGTTCCCAGACGGGCCCGGCTGGTCCCGAAGCCCGGGTCCCTTCCACTTGTTGCTCACAGAGCCGGGGACCCTAGAGGACCGCTTGCGACTCACCTGAACCTGAAAAACCCAGAGGGCGGCACACAGGACTTCGTAGTTGGACTCTTAGGATGAAAAAATCGAAGGTAACCTTGGCAAAGAGGAGTGGGAAGCCTGAGTCGTCATCTCCTCCGCTGAGGCCTCCTGAGAGCTGCCCGAGGTGCCGGGCTGGCGGTCCAAAGGCCTCCCGCCTGCCCTGCCGGTCACCACCACCCCCCAGCCAGCCCCTGCGATGGCTTCTGTCGCCCCCTCTCTCCCGGTTTCACACGAGGAAGTCAAGGCACGGAGGGCGAGGGGGAGCATCACCACGTAGCTGCCTTGTGCCCTGCATCTGGCCAAGCGGACGACGAAGGCCATTCTCATGATTGTGTCATGGGAGGGACAGTGTCTCACTGGGTCACACGGATGCGGGCTGGCCAGGCCCCAACCCAAGTCAGGGCTCGTGTCACCGGTGCCACAGACCAGCAGAGGAAGCCGGAGGGCTGCGTCACGCGGAGAACAAAGGCACGCTCACCCTCCGGGAGGGTCTCACCTCCGGGGTCCTCACCGCTAAGTGCTGGTAAGAGCAGGGTCCAGGGCGCAAGGCGTGATGTCACAAGAGTTTAGGACCATCTACGTCGAATGCCACCTCCTGGCTGTACCGGTTGCGTCCACGTCCGTGCACGAACCTGTGACTGTGGCCTTGTTTGGAAACAGACCCTCGCCAGATGCAGTCGAGGGAAGGGTGGGCCCTAAGTTCTCTGTGACCCGTGTCTTAGAAGGGGGAGAGATTTGTGAAGACAGAGGTGGGACGGGAGGCCGGAGGAGGTCTGGGACAACTCTGCCCTCGGAGCCCCGGGAGGAGCCCACCTGACGTGCTGGTGCCTTGGTGTCTGACTTCCGGGCTCCAGAGCTGAGACGACAACTTCCTGCTGTTTTAAGCCCCCAGCGCGTGGCTCTCTGCTACGGTGGCCTTGGGAAACTGAGCCAGGGGCGCATACTAGGAGCCCCGCCAGGGTTGGCTGGTGCTCCTATTTAAGGCCGAAGGGATACAACAGACTGAACGTCTGGGAAGCAGGGCCGCTGGGGCAAGAAACACAAAGGAAGTTCTAGACTGCCTTCTAAGGTGGCCACTAGCTAAGGGACACAACAGAGAGGGAAGGAGAGACCTGGCCGGAGAAAGAAGAGAGCATTCCGGGACATTCCTGTTCTGGAGTCTCTGGCCTCGGAACAGTGAGCTTCCCCCGGCCCCCCTTCCCCTGGTGGTGAGAGCTGGGACCCACGGGCTGTTTACAGTAATTACAGTGCACGGGAGGGAAACTGGGGGGGGGGGGGGGGGAGGGTGGATTATGGCCGCGGACATTCCCAAGTCCTGGAAACCGGGGCGTTCCGGGGGCGGGGGCTATGGGTCCGCGGATCCGGACAGCCAAGGTGGGTCTTTGGAATGCGGGGACGGGATGCGGATGCCGGCTTTAGCGGGAGTCAGGTTTTATGCCTGAGGCAGAGGGAATTCTAACACAGGCTAGAACAGCAAGACAGAAATTGCCTTTTAGATGGCTGCCATCAGCAATATTTAGCAGGTAGGTTCTGCAGGGTAGTTTAACCTTCTGTAACCTTACAGTTGAGTGCTCGCTCCGCTCCCTCTCTCTCTCTCTCTCTCTCTCTCTCACTCCCACACGCCTCCACGATATTTTACCCTCATGGTTTGCTTTGAGGGGGAGCTCTGTAGACTTCGTCTCTCTCCTTCGGTGCATAACTGCCTGCCTGCGAATGCATGCAAGCCCCCCTTACACGTTCACATCTAGCAGGGACTGAAACTCCGAGGCACAAGCACCCGCAAGCTTCTTGGTAATCAGGGCAACACCGGATGTACAGTTGGAGCTCAGCAAATAATTAATAGTAATGAAAATTGACATCGTAAAAATTAAAGTGAGGGGGCTGATAGGGAGGGATTGGGTTGGTTGTCATACCTCGGGCCTAAAGGGAAACGGATTGCTTTGGAGAATCTTTTAATTAATTTCAGAGTTTCCCTGTTTCTTCTCCACCACATGAGCTGTGTTCCTCTCTCGGCCGGCAGGATCCTGTGCAGAGAGAGGGAGGCCTGGGGATCAGCCCATCCCGGGAGCGTCCTGAATCCCGCCCCCCCCCAACCCCGTGGAGAAAGGTCTAGGTGAGGGGGATGCCCTCCGCAGCCCAAAGAGGGGTTCGTTTTGCAAATTTACTTTCACGACCTATGAATAAGCCAGGCGGTCTGCCCCTCATTCACAGCTAAAATAAAAATGGATCTCTACAGTCTGACCAAGTTCAGCCACTGAGCTGCAGCGTTAACTTGTATTCTAACAAGATTAAAATATATTTGTCCTGGGGATTAGCATACTAAGTCCCCTTTTGCCTTTTTAGCAGTGGCAGGGCACTTTGATCTGCCTTGCGTGGAGAGAGCGCGGCTTGGGCCCAGCCATCCGACTGCCAAGTGTGAAATCGGCCTGGTGTCATCATCATTCTTCCTCGTTTACATCTTCCACCAGTTTAATTATATTTCCGCCACAAAGGTCTGGCGCCTCATTGCATATTCAAGTTAGACCAGGAAGCATTTAAAAAAAAAAAAAAAAAAAAGGTAGGGATGAAATAGCCCCGTAGGGGGGAGGGAGGGGCTGCCCGGCCCCTCGCGCCCCTGGGTTGTGTGCCCCCTAGACGGGCCTACCTGCGTGCAAACGTGTGCCCCACGCGGGCCGGCTCTGCGCGGCTCCCCGCACAAAGGCCATGGTCACGCCCGCGCTGGGTTCGGGGGGCCGTTTGGCTTGTGCCTCCAGCGGTTTGTATCGTATTTATCCTCCCGACGCGCGGGTTCTGTCTCCTGAGGACCTCGAACCCACCAGCGCGCTCCCTTCCAGGTGATGAGTCACCAGTGACTCGCCCATCAGTCGGCTGCGAGTGAATTCTAGGGCACACCCGGTGCCCAGAGGGAATGTGTCTCGCTGACCTTTGATGGCCCCAGGAGTATCAGGCCCTCTCACTCCCCACCCAGACCCGAGATTCGGGCCCTCCGGCCCTCCGCAGATTCCCCGAACTGCCCCGGGAGAGGCCAGCCTGCCGGCAGAACAGGCCTGGAGAGGAGATCCCAGCGGGGGACCTCTTAAACGACCTCGCCTCCCAAGCCACCGCCACCGGAGCCGCCATCGGGTGGCTTAGGGGTGGGGGAGGGGAGGGAGGGGGAGGAAGGGGAGACGGTGACAGCCAGCCCTGGTCCCGCCGGCCCCACACGGGCCACCCTTCCCAGAGCACTAGTGTTTGGGAGAGGAAGTGAGCCAACTGCAGGGGCGGCTGGGGTCTGACCTTCACCTCAGCCCCCAGCCCCGGGCTCCAGGCTCCATTCACTCCCAGCTGGAGCGTCTCAGAGCTGGTCGTTCTCGGTTTTGGGGGGGTGGGGGGGGCTTCTACGTGAGGGACGTTGGGTGTTATTTCCACAAACAAGCTGGGCAGAATAGAAATGCGGACGGACTTCCTTAGCATTCGAGAGCAGGTCAGCGGTGGGAAACGCGCTCGGCTCCGACTGGCCCTTTGTCTGAGCTTTGCCAGGGCTTTCCACTTTCTTGGGGGGACGTGGCGCAGGTGGTGGGTTGAGCTGACAGTCACTTTCGCCACGTGGGGAAAACGGGGAGAGGTCTTTTACAAGGTCCAGATTTATGACCATTTTCGTTTCGAATCAACACTCTTGTCAAAACGAGAGGTTAACAACACATTGCTTCTCAAATTGAATGATATAATTATAAAATTATCCCCACATAATTAACTCAGGATTATGTTTCATTCTGGTTAGCATGTAATCAAAGCCTGTTATGCTTTTAGCTATAGGAACAGCAATTAATTTAAAGGGGTTACTTTAGACCAAATAGCTCATCAGGCCATCAGGACGCCCACTCACTCTTGGAGGAAGAGCCACGGGGAGGGGGGTGCGCGGGGGGCGCGTGGGCGGGGGGCACAGGGAGGCTCCTGACCACAGGCTGGGCCCCACGTGCGTGCGAGGTGCAGCCTGACTTCTGGCCTCCCTCACTGTCCAGCGGGGTGCCTGCGTCCTGTGCATGGAGTCAAGTCTGAGTCAGGGTGATGGGACCATGCTGCTGAACGCAGTGACTACGGGATCGGAGCGGAGAGCCGCGTGGCGTGTGAAGTCACCGGGCTTCTATGGAAACCGGAGCATCTTCCCTACTTTGCGGTCAAGAAACATGTGGGGGTAAATCCTGACGGGAAGGGGTGTGCCTGTGTCCCAGCCGGGCGGGGAACAAAGCACACACAGCAGTGCTCCAGAGAAGGGGGTAGTGTCTCTGGGGAGTGCGGACCAGCATCCTGAATTTCCTCTGTCGTTCTCAGCTCCTCTCGCGGTCCCTCTTTGTATAGCCGTGTGAACACTGTCTGTCCTAGTCGTGACCTCCTCCTTTTTTCCTTTCTCCCGGACAACTAAAGCGAGGCCGCATTGGGTGGTAGCAGCCAGGAAGGCGAGGCGCTCTACCGACAACGGGCACTGAGCTGTGGAGGGCACAGCCCGAGCCCAGCGCCAGAGTCCCTGCCCCGTGATGAGTCACTCTCTCGCTCACCCTGCCCCGTTCCGTGCCAGGGGCTTTTATGCTCATTTTCCCGCATGGGGAACCCTATGGGGAAGCCCATTAGATAGATTTTCTTTCTATTGAAGAGATGAATGGATGGGCTGGGGTTGGGGGGGGGGGAGCAGTTGTGACAATTCCCTTCACCGTAGGGCACTTCTTTCAGTGCTGAGTGATATTGTGCGTTCTCAAGAAAAAAGAAGTAAAAGCAAACCCGTGCACCCTGGACTGCCTGAGCCGAGGTGCACAGGCCTGGGGCACCTGACAGCCAGCCGGGCCTGCTGCCCTGTACACGTTCTCCTCTCCCCCAACCAGCAGGTGTTTGGAAGCCAGCATAGGCATCACTCACTCGAGGGGCTGAGGTCTCCCATCTTTGATCCAGCTGTTCGAGCATCAGAAGATACAATCTGAGACTTGTGGGTCATGACGGAAGCGGTTCAGCGGGGGCACCTTACTGGCAGCGGCAGAGAAAGGGTGCTGGCCCTGGCAGGAGTCGGATGCTGCCAAGGGCACCGGGATTCTGCCGTGTCGCCAACTGCCTGAACCCAAAGAAATGCCAGATTCCGGGGGGGGGGGGGGGGGTGTGCCCACATCAGTTGATGGAGAGTAAAGCTGCCAAAAACCTGAGGACCTAAAGTTTTGGCCTAAAGGGGAAAAGTCAGAGGCAGCGCCCCCACCCCCCCCCCCGGGGCCACCAAATGACGCCAGAGGGCAGGGGCCTGGGGTCCCCGCGAGGTTGGAGGGAAGCGGCCGGTCTGCGCTGGGAGGGGCCGCAGACACAGAAACAGGGCGGCGACTGCTCGCCGCGCTTGGCAGCTGGAGCCTGTGATTAACCATCCAAGGAGGAGAGAAAAGCAGAGGGAAGAAAGGGCAGTTAGCGGAGGGGGTAGAGGTTGGGGGAAGGAGGAGGCGGCGGAGCTGACAGTCCCCTTCCAGACAAAGGACTTGGCGGGAGGAGAGAACCCCGAAGGCGCGGCTGAAAGGCGCCGGGCGGCCCCTTCCGCAGGCAGCGCGCGCTCGGACCGCGCGGCCAAGACAGATGGGGATGAGCGGCGGCCGGCCCCGACTCTTCCAGACGGTCCGTGCACGCGGTGATCCCCACCGCTCCTCGCCGCACGGAGCACCCCCGGCCGCGCCAGGGTCCCTCCGCGCAGGAGAAGACGCCCCGCAGGCCCGGGCAGCGGCGCAACGCACTAGGCCCTAGGCCCTCCTGCCCTGCCCTGCCGGGTCTCCGGGGGCCCGGGACGGGGCGGGGGGTGGGGGGAGCCTCTCTGGGACGCCTTCCAGGCAGAGGGGGCGAAAAGGCGGCCCGGGAGGCAGATCTGGCTACTCTTTGTTTCTGCTCCGAGCAAAGCGCGGGGCTCAGCCCCGAAAAGGGAGCAGCCAACGGGGGGGGGGGGCGGGGGGCAGGTGTCCCGGGTCCCGGACCTAACGTTCCCCTTCCCAGAAAACTTGCCCTGGCGTCCCTCGGGGACACGGGGGGCCTAGGAGCCAGGGGACCCCCTACCTCCTCCCCGAGCTGTCGCGCAGGCCTTGCACGGGCCTGGGGCCGGTAGGCAAGGGCAGAGAGCTTGGGCCACACCCGTTCCGGAGTCGTTCCGCCTCGCTTCCTCCATCGTGGGGCTCCCCCAACCCCCAAACTGAAGAAGCAAGCGGCACTCTGGGGGCTGAGACCCGGGCTGCTAACAACAGCAATATTAGTAACTCTGTCGCCGTCATCAGCCTCACCAGCCGAAGCCCGCGCGGCGGACCACGCTTGATTAAATCTCATAATTAGGCACCACTTTGATGAATATTATTACATTTCGGGCGATTTCAAGAATGCCCTTTATTTTCCGTGGGTGTCTGAC